TTTCAAACTTTATGGTTAATCAGGTTTAAGACACAAGAAACGGATGGTTTGATAAAGAGTGCATGAATCTCAAAACACAGGTTAAAAAAGAATTATAGAAATTTAAACGCATGCACACACAAAATTTATTAGAAACATTATAAAAAATAAAAAAACAATACAAAAAGGTTACTAAAGAAAAAAAATACGACGTTCAAAATCTTAAATTCTTCTTGTTTGTTCACAGTTAAAATGTAAGGAATAAAGTAATTATTGGCAATATATCTCCAAAAGGACACATAAATTATTGATTTTCAGACCGACTATTATACAGTCACATGTTCGATCAATAATGTAGTATTTTTAATATCCTAGTAACAAAGATGTAAATATCTAAATTGATCAGGAGACAACAATTGAGGCATGTTGTGGCAAAATGGCTAAGTTGTAGCAAAAATTCAAGTTATTGGTATTTTCAGATACCTGAGTATGTGATCTTTAAAAGAATGTAGGACATAAACCACCCAGGACATAAACCACCCAATTGGAATATACCATTGTTAAAGTGGGTGGGCAACAGGGTGAACAATGTTGGGTGGTCTTGCTTTTATCTAGCTTTACTTAATTTGCTGTAGTAAAGCTGTCTCTTATACACATCTAGATGTGTATAAGAGACAGGTAATCACTGTGCTTAAAGTTTAATTTTTTTTAGTTTTCTAAATTTATTTTAATTTTTAAAATGACTTACATTAAAAATCACTTTCAATTAAATACTTCCCTTTAATAATAATAATTTTATTTTAGTAATCACTGTGCTTAAAGTTTAATTGTTTTAATAGGTATATTTTAGTTTTCTAAAATTACTTTCTAAAATTATTGCACAATGGGTAAAAATAAGAATATAAATGACTAATTCTATAAAAAAGTATTTATCATACATGTATATGGTTTACAAATTGAATTCTTAATAATTATCATTAATTTACATTTACAGTATTTATATTATATAACTGAGATAATAATTTGAATGAAAAAAAAAATTAAATTATTATCTCAGTTATATAATATAAATACTGTAAATGTAAATTAATGATAATTATTAAGAATTCAATTTGTAAACCATATACATGTATGATAAATACTTTTTTATAGAATTAGTCATTTATATTCTTATATACGTCACGAGATTAATTACGCACTAGATAAAACTTTCTGGATGAATTTGAAACAAAACCAGAGCATTGCAGGTGTCAACATTCCTATGCATGATACATGACTTAACCAACCATATTTTCTGATTAAGTCATCATAAATGACATAATCAGAAAATATGGTTGGCTCAAATTTGTGTGGTGGTTTAAAAAAAATTCAGGGGGAGACTTTATGGCCCAAAATAGTGATTTTAGACCACATTGGTAATAGAATTTGATAGGCAAATAACAGTAATATTTTTAGCAAATTTCTTTGAAAAATTTTCATAGGCCTAGGGCCTAGGCCTAGCTAGGTATACAGTATTTTCATTTTACAGTATTTTGGAACGACAGATCAAATTTTCCTTTTTAGTTCCTATTGCATTACAGGAAAATTTGATCTGTCAAATTTCTAGTAACCAATGCAGACATACAGAGCCTAATAATGAGCTGAATGAGTTTCCACCTATCGAACACGATAATAATGACACATTAAACGAAAACATTACACTAGATGAAATTAAAAGAGCATTTGATACTCAGAAAACCGGTAAAGGCTCTGGGGATTGACGGTATGAATTTTGAATTTTTATTAAACGCACCTAAGGCTATATTTAACCTAGGTAACTTCCCTAAACAATGGGCTACAATGGATTTTAAGAAAGGGGAAAAGAACAATCCAGAAAATGACATGGCATCACCTTAATTCCAATATTAGACAAAATTATCTTACAAATTCTCAACACAAGATTAGCAAAATTTACAGAAGATGATAATATTTTGTTTGAGGAACAAGCAGGTTTTTGAAAATGGTATCGAACATCTGATAATGTATTTATTTTGGATACTATTATTTCTAGATACTTAAATAGAAAACGTGGTAGAGTCTTTGCATGTTTTGTCGACCTTAAACGCTCCTTTGATTCCATAAATCATGTATTACTGATTTATAAATTGAGACAGATTGGCGTGGCTGGTAGAATGTTAACCATTATAAATTCGTTATACCAAAATTTAACAGCTCATGTAAAAATTGACAACAAACTGAGTACCTCATTCGATTGATTGATTGATTGGAGTACAACAAGGTTCTCCGCTTTCATCTTTACTTTTTTATTATGTATATTAATGGCATAAGCAACCTTCTTAATCAAGTAAAACAAAAGATCCAATTTGGAGATTGTTATCATAAGTTCTGTCTTCTTTAACGCCGATGATCTAGTGCTTGTTAGCGATACTGTGAAAGGACTATCAAGGACTCCCATCAAATCAAGTGTACTTTTTTCTTATTTAAAAAACAGCTCCATAAGCTACAGCAGTCTTTTTGCACATACAAATAATTAACATACTTTTGCTTCATAGGCTTGCTTAGATTGTTTATATCGGGCTACATGTATCTACGAAGCCTGCGCGCATGAAAAATTGCAATAGTTTCGGCAGTACTGTAGGCCTTGTTCACTAGCCCACCGGGCAAAAAGAAGGGAAGTTGACTAGCCCCGAGCAGTTTTTACTAACCATTGTACGTCCAGCTAGTCAAAAATCAAGCCCTGGTAGTAGTATAGCCATGTTAGTCAGAATAAAACTGCCGTGATTTGGAAAAACGCATTATATCCATTTTTGAGAATTTTGAGATTTTTGGCTTAGGGGCATCCTATGGATGTAATCTATCATGTGAACTGATCATATACCCCCAAAAATGTTTATAAATATGAAATTAATATGAGAGTTACGCATTATATCCATCCACCAAAGCAAAAAAATCCGGAAGAGTGCATTATATCCACCATGCATTAAAGAGTGAGCAATCAACCAATCACAGAAGACAATGATGCATATTTAATTAGTTCCCTAGCTGGTGGAAGGGCATAATAGGGTATAAAAGTTTGTTTTTGATCAGAATACAATTAATAAAAGAAGAATGCATTGTTCTTCATCTTTTAAAGAATAAAGTTGCAATATGACCGTCACCAAATTGTGACCATAATGTAAATTTTAGTCTGTAATATTAATAATTATTATTATAACTAAGACCATTCAACAAACAAAATAAAATACATACATATTAAACTTAAAAATGTTTTACTTAGACTTTACAATTAAACCAATGCTTGGAATTTAGATATAATACCTATGCTAAATTTACATTTAAAATATTTTAGCTATATTTAAATAAGTACACTTTCTTATAATTTAAGGAAACAGAAATTTATAAAAGGGCCTGAAGAAGTGTGTTTAATAGTTGGGTATTTATTTTTTGTTTATTTAATTGAAAAGCGGGTATTCTTCATAGTGAATTTAAATAAACTGATTTTTTATGTTGTAAAAACATACTAACAGTGTTGTTGCTTGTTCTTTCTGTAGTGGTTAATGATAGAATTTAATTTAAATTCTACATGTACCATACCATACTTTAGGGGAAATACAACATTTACTAAATCAGATCAGACACATTGTGTAAATATTTTATGAGAGTGAATGCGATAATGTTGCTAAATAATATAAACAAAAACCCTTAAGAAACTTTCTATTTTATTTTGTTTTAAGTTAATTAAACATAATGGAATTTAAACCTCTAATGTCCTGGTAAAAATTCACTTTAATTTGTTATTTTTATTAGTCCTTAAGTAAAGAATAATGCATGCATTCTGCTGGCAAAAATGGATATAATGCCTACATCAGATTTTTCATGCTTCATTGGCTTTTGTTTTAATTTGGAAAAGCACATTATGACCATTTTGACTGGGTTATAGAAAAAAATATATAAATAAAGTACTTCAGTATGTTTTTTCTGTTGTGTAGTTAGTACATTTACACAAAAATTCAATATAATTCATTTCCATAACAAAAGGCTAACAAGAAATGCATTTTGCTCAGTATCTTAAAACTATGATTTTGGCTTATAATGCGTTCTTCCGAATCATGGCAGAAAAGCTGGCATCAACTGCCAGCGAAACTTTGTGGTAAATAAATTACATCCTTTAAGTTAGTCTCAGAGGGCCGCCTCATTATTACCTGATATTAATATCGAAATGACTGGAACCACAACCATTTACCTATATTTATAAATTAAATAAAACGTATAAATGTTTTGATGGATTGGACATTTAACTGCAAGAAAAAGTAATGACAGATGGCAATATAGGCAAAAAAGAAATACAAGTTCAGTAGTAATAATTGTGTATGCCCAGAACCATGGAGATTTTGTTTTTATATTCCCATAAACAGTTTTAACTGTTCAAACTAAAATACAATTTCATACCATTTTTCCAGACCAGGTGAACAACATACTGTAGCCCATGTGTAAGTTCAAGAACCCAGTACAGTGCCCAGTTCAAAAGAGCAGAGGATTGTCTCCCTATGTACTGCCCCTTTCACAGTGGTGTATCCTGGATTTTAAAAATAAGGGTGGAGTGGTGGGGGGGGGGGGGGATTGCTATATAGAAATATCATATCCTACTGTTTGAACAAACATGGGTTGTGCTCAGACACCATGAAAACCTCCCTGTACTGTGGCTCTTAATACGGATAGTTATGGGTCCATATCTCACTCAACCCAGTAGTGGTGTCAAAATTTGCGGGAAGGAAAATTGGAGGGAAGAAATGATATTGGAGAAATTTCTAGCATACTGTAGGCTAGCAAGGTCCAGCAGTAAAACAATGGTAGGGTCGAGGAATCTGGTCTCAGACAAGTCATGGCAGATAGGGGACTTTTGTCAACATATCCAAGGGGTTAGGCCCCTCCCCCTCCTATCCCACTGGCACTGCCATTGCTGCATTGGTGTTCAGTGACGAGAAGTAATCAACTATAAGTTACACAACATTATAACTTACCATTGGGACTGAGTGTCACACTAGGCATTGGATACATGTTAGTGTATTTGAAATCCACCGGGATCCATTCCCAAAGCCGGATGCTTTTGTCGTCCGATGTCGTCACAAAACGGCGATTCTGGTCAATAAAGGTGATCGTGTTGACCGCACCAAGATGCCAGTTGTACTCCTGCACTATTTCATTTGCTCGTGTATCCCACTGTGAATATGAGATGTAGATGGAAGACGATATACAGTACTACCATTTAAATAAAAGGGGGTTGTCTCAATCCCTATGTACTGCCTGTTTAACCCAATGAGATAATGCTGTACAGTGGCTGGCTGCTAAATACCCTCATGGGTCTATACCACAAATTACCCAATGTACTCAACCCAATGGCAGATTGAAGGGGGTGGGGGGTCCCAGCCAGCCCAGCTACTGCTCCCCGCCACTTTAATTTTTCAAAATTATAAAAAAGAGAGAAATTAAATAATAAAATTTACAGACATTATTTTTAAATAATCATAAATTGTAAAAATTGTAAATAATGTATATATTGTATTACTGTAAATCATTTCCACCCATCTAAGGTTCCATAAGTATAGATTTACAATATTTAGTACAATGTATTTACAATATTTACAATTTAAAATATATACAATTTACAATAGTGCAGCGTCAGCAGCATCTACGGTCGTAAATTGTAATTTACTGATTTCCTGCAGTACTGTATTTCTGAAAGAAACATTCATTGTTTATATTAATTACTATTTGTCACTTGTTGACTGTAGCGCTTCCTTGTATTTACGAAGTGATATTATCAATTACTTAAAATGTTTAAATCGACACTAGGCACTGCCTGATGTGAACAGGGGTCTTCAGCACAGGAAGCTCTGGTTCAAATCTAACTACTCCAATATGAAAGTACTGTAGTTAATATTTTAAGCCTTACAATTTTTCATGTTAATAACAAATGAAAATAATTGCCCAGAGCTAATAATACATTAAAGATAATGTTGAAAGCAAGATAATGATACGTACTCAGTAATGCAGTAATCCTAATTAATGACAAATATTATTATAAAATATTGTTTGAAGGTTTGCATGGCGAAGTAATAATAATATATATTAATGTTTGCGGTTAATAATATCTGCAGAAATCCCAAAACAGTAAATACATATAATATGTTTTGGTGAGTGAGACTTGCTAGTGATTGGTTGAAAACTAAACAATAGCTGAGAGTACATGACATTATTGTGAACTGATAGTCTGAACTATCAGTTCCTCACTTACTCAATAGAGAAAATGCCCAGGTTTTGTATTTTTAGCTTTAAAATTTGACGTATTAACTTTATATCAATTTAATTATTTTATTTTTTAATTGACTTATTTATATACATTCTTCTATTAGGTGATGGTTTTTACGACCCCTCGGAAGTAAGTCCTCTTGGACTTTAATGGGTTGTCAAGGCATCCCAATCATTCTGTTCGAAAGGTGTATATAAGAAAAAAACGATTAATTAATACCTTTTTTAAAATTTTTAATAAATATTTTATATTGCTATTTTAAACTTCCGCAACGGGCCTTTATTTATCTCGATGTAAATTGCTAAATTGCTGTTTTTAATGTCTGATGTTTGTAATGTTTTGCTTTTTAATAATGCTGTATAAATTCAATTCAACTGATAGCCACCTGGCATTCCAGACAGATCAAAAAAGCTATAGAATTTTCAGAAACATGATAAAATACATCAATATAGTGAACTTGTCATCAGCGATATTTGGTTGTCCATGTTTTATCAAACCTAAGATGCCATTGTTTTTGGCTTTCCGTTTCACCTAGCTAGTAAGCCCTGTGGAACACTTTCAACGGATATTGAGGAAAGCCGGACTAGGCCCACAATTTCGTGGGGGACATCGCCCCCCCCCCCCTCATCGGGAACCTTGGACCCTGGGCAAATCCTGGTGCCACACCTGTACTACTTAGTCTATGGATTTTCCAATCTTAATCCTAAGAACAAATTATCTTACTGGAAGAGAAAATGGGCCTAATAATTAAAATTACAACTTTCACAACATGACTGCTGAAGTTAAGATTTGTTTTTAGTGTTCACTGCTTTGAAACAATATTGCCGGATATTCCAGAAAAAGAGAACCGAATGTTTATATATGTAATTTAAGTAAATATATTAACTTTCCAATGTTGTGTATATTTGTATTGTATATATGTTATGATTTATACACCTATTCAGTGCAGAATCTTCAGTAGCCTATGCCAGGGTCTTACAGCAGATTCTACATAGGCCTAACTTCACGTAAATGAGGCATAGGCCTAGACAGACTGCTGCGGGTTGCTGGACGCACAATCTAGACTAGGCCTCAGACTACTGAAAAGAACTCATGGTCCAACCTAGCCCAGACTTAGTTAGAGGGAGCGTAGACCAACGAACGTCCATACTACTTAGGCCAATCTTCTGAAAATGGACTTGATCGTCCCTCACCTGCCTGTAGCAGCAGCACAAGAGAAAACTAAGATAAGCCTTTCGCTGCTCGCGCCTTGCTAAATTCACATTGGTCACACAAAGTAGTGTGAGTTTTTTTGGTAGACGCCATAATTATACATGACGTTACCATATACAAGCCCCTCCCCCTCGGCTGAACCCGTTGTAATTAGCAACTACCATCCAAAAGTGCTCTCTGTGTGTAGAAAGTTACTATCAATTGAGGGCAGTATTGATTGAAATTTATATATAATTATATCATTACTGCAAAGAGGTTTAGAAACAGAAGATCAAGATTTTTTTCCTGTAACTTGTGGGCTGGATTGATATAGTACTGTCTCTTATACACATCTAGATGTGTATAAGAGACAGTGCAACAAGAGTGTCTATGCTTCAGAGAATTGCCATTATTGACCAAGAATTGGATGAAAGCGGAAAAAACCACCACATAACTATTTCTCCAAGCTTTATAAAAAGAAAATTAAAAGGCAGCACTCTGACAAAAGTTCTAGCCTAGGCCAAGCCCTAAATAGGCTGGGCTAGTACATTGCAGCATGGAGGAAATATACTTAATAAATATATTTCCTCCTTAACTGATGATGATAGGCCTAGACATCGACAGCCAAGGTGTAAACTATCATTATGGATTCCCATCATTATCATATGTAGCCTTACAGTAGCCTAGGTGGTCCTACTCTACTAATCACTCAACTTATCTCCTTTTTCATTCCTTTTGATAAGCCCCACGTATCTCGGGTGGAAGTGTTGTTTATTGAATTAAAATACTAGGCACTGCATTTGTTTTTAGCTTCCTTATATAATTTTTCTTGTATCCTAAAGACGATAACAAATCTGGGTCTCTCACAGGTAGGCCTAGCAGTCAATGTGAAATAATTACAAAACATGTGAATGAATGAAGTGCTTTGTTGAGTGGGCTCCCAATTAGCCGCCTAGGCCTAGGGGCCTACATCTTCTTCACCAATTTTTACTTCGGAAAACTTAAGAAACTTAGATGTTTGTGGTCTTCAAATTATGCTTACATCCAAAGACCAACGTAATAAGGCAGGGCTGTAGGAGTTTCAGCAATTCTCTTTGTCTTGTATCTGAGAGACGGAACAACGAACTTCAGCCGTGTTTTGTGTGTGGCGCGTCAAGTGTCAATGTGCTTGTTTACGTTTTGGTTCGGTAGGAATGACGTCATCACCTAATTAACATATTATTGTTTCTATGAATATCTGAGCCAACTGAGCGATGCTATAATATAGTCTCTTTTAATTGCCCTAAAACAGTATGAAAAGCGTGATTTTTTTAAAGTAAAGAGATTCAACATATTACTAACAGTTTAATTTATCTACATATATTGTTCTGGCTATATTTCACAAGTCCTTTAAGTATTTACTGTTTTGGGATTTCTGCAGATATTATTCTCTTGAAGACGATTGGAACAACTCAATTAAAACGTCAAGATATTCTCAACAAACAACAACAGTTCTTTTAAGAACAAACTACGTTTTGTACCGCAAGCATTAATATATATTATTATTATAAAAGTAATAAAATCCATACCTGTACAATTTTCTTGTCTGCCATGCCTGCTACAAAAATGTGTTGTTTGTCTTCATATGGGCTGAACTTCACACAATATAAGGAACTTTATTGTTTGTAAATCTTGATATACATTAACTTGAAATAATTAAAATATAATACTTTAAAATTTGTTTATATTGGTAAATGAATAAAATTAGTGAGATATCGTGACAAAATGAGTCTTGTTGTAAGCCAGGTTAAGATATGCAAGAAAATATGCTTGAAGTCATATTTAAGACAAAATGGGTTTCAATGTTTCTAATAAGTTTAATATTTATATTTCACTATAACAAATGTTCTGAGTTGATAACATTAGTTGAAAGTATTTGAGGCACATTTTGTAAAGTTCTTTTTTAGAATTGATAGGAAAACGAACACAATATTTATAAGTTGTTAATCTTTAAGGCCAAATAAAAAAAAAATTGTGTTGGCCACGCCTGACCAACCCAAATTTTACGAAATTCAGGGTCGGCATTTAAAAAAATTTTTTTTTTTTTGACTACAAGGAACAATACCGTTTTTCCATGAGCTTATATGGTTGGAATAGCCTTGGAGTGGGATAAGGGGCCAAGGCCTAGCCTATTATGGTGCATGGTATGCAATGCGAATCCAAAATTGTTGTATTATTTGTGTATTTTCTACTTTTTAAGCGTAAACACATTTTTGGGGGTAAAAAAAAAGTTATCCTACCGACCTACCAATTTTTTTTATTTTTCCAAAACGTGGCCAACACAAAATTTTTTTTTTTTTTTTTTTTTTTGGCCAAATGGGAATTTTTTCTTCCAAGTATGTTTTCAGACTTCTGAATTTGAAAATTGAGTTTACTTCAGTTGTTGTTCAAGCTAGGAACGGAATCTGATTCAAAAACCAAAATAAAGTCAATATACTCATTTATCTATATATATTAACTCAATCGTTCTTTTATACAAGATTCACTTTGTCACAACAGCTCACATTTGTGACCCAAGATCATAAAGGGCTGTTAACTCATCCTCAAATGAGTTTTTGTTATATTAGCATAAAACATATCATTTAAAATTAACTCAATCGGGTGTCTAGAAGCAAAGTTATGACCGTTTGAATAATTATCATTCTTATCAACTTTCTTAAATCAAGTTTTGAGAGGTTACTATTCATTTTTCACTATTAACTCCCATCCGAAAATGGCTAAATTTCACTTTTGACAGTTGGAATTTTAAAGTCAAACTTCACGAATAGTAAGATTGATACTTATACTTCATTTATTATACAGAAAACCAATTCGTACAAAATTCATGTTCTACAGCCTATTTTGGCTATTGAGGCTTGTTTCTTAATACAGGACGGTGCGAGTTTACAGCCCTTTAATGAATCTTAGGTCACATTTTTCATGGATGCTTTGGCCTCCAGTGACATTAAGACAAATGATATGTAATTTATTCTAACCATTTTCTGTATCCCAAATTTTCATGTATCTGTCGTAGCCTGAGCTGATAAACTTATCACCACTATATTGAAGGATGCATCATGGACAGCCGGCTTGTGACCTAGATATGTGCAGATGACACGCCTCTTGTTATACACTTCCCCACAACTGGCAACAGAAACCAAAACAAGTTTAGAATGAGGGATGGGAAATAGTCAGACACCAGTAAGGGGGGAGGGGGGAAGAAGCAGGGTTAGATTATACAGTGTGTGGGGATATGTTAAAAATGGTTTAAAACTGGAGGAAGGTCAAAGGGTAAGGAAAGACCAAGAGATGAAGATGGGTTAAGAAGTGGAGACATGTCAAGTGTTGGTTCAAAAGTGTTTAAAATCAAGAGGTCAATATTTGAAAAAGACAGTAAAACAGCAGACAATTATTGCAGTAATAACACTAGTACACCTAACGACATGGCCCATTTGTCCAACCAAATATCGCGGTAATATTGACATAATATAACGCCTTTCTCAATGGATCACGCACACTGTGAGAGCCATTAGTTAAACTTTATAGTCGTCACAGAGTAAAGGCGTGTATTAATGTTTATTATTTCTACAAAATTGTTGATAAGTAAGATTATTGGAATGTGACCTGCTTTTGTTTCAGACACACCCCAAAACGGAAATATTGCAGGAATATTACTAGGTCCATGGTTGAATGTGTAACCTCAATATTGCTGCTGCTGCAGTTAGTTTGGGCCTTTTCATCAAGATGGTAGCTGTTTGAAAGTGGCTTAAAAGGAAGAACACAAGAGATAGGAAAATACAAAAAAAGGAAGGGATTCAATTACTGTACTTAGGTTTGTGTCATTCTTATAATATACAAAACTCATTAACTAAAATATATTATATATGCTTTTATTCCCAGGCAAGATAATTATTATTAAATAGAAGAATGAAGAATTATTTTGAACACAATTCTTACTTTTAATTTACTGTCCATTCCGCATGATAACAACAAATTACCTGACTTTGGAAAAAGCCTAATAGCTGCAAAACCTTTCGTATGTCCCGTCCAGGTGTGCAGGAGCTTCTTCGGCAGGTAACATTTCTCGGGTGGGTCCTCTGACTTGAGGTCGACGTCAAGATCCATTGGAATATGTAGGAAGGAGCGGTCTTGATAATCGTACGCATCTTTGACTGAGGAAGTGTAAAAGAGTGATAAACATTGAAGTGATAAAAGCATTGCAGAATAGACATTCAGAAAAGATATGTTGACCATTAAGATAGCTGAATCTTCTTTAGAACTTTCATGTCCCAACTATTATAATCATCATACATTATTATCATCATTACCACCACCCTCATTGTAATATTCAGTGTCTTCATTTCAAAAATCAACATCAATTTTGCGATCACTTCTGGCTTTGGCAACATATACTGTATACTATAACTGATCATAAGTTATTGCTTATTACTATTTCTGTAATTATCAATCATCATCTACACAACCACTCCATTACTATCATCATCCTCTTAATGACTGTGATAATGTCCTCCTGGTTAATAACCTTTAAGGTGGTACCAAACACAGAACTACCAGGAGACC